AAAGAAAGCCCAAGGAACAAATAGATTCGAGTCGATTGCACTATCCCAGAAAGCATATACTAAAGATGAAACGCACGGGAAAAGTTTTTTTAAAAATCCACTTTAATATCTTCACAAATAAAGTCTAAAGTTCATTTAATATGCATTCAAATTTAAGATGCGTCTATCCAAACAGATGCGCCATTACTATCTTCGTTGTCAACAAAAATAATTTCACATTTAAAAAACATTTTTTCGTTTGCTCCAAAAGGCCTTTAAAGCAAAGCTTTTTATCATCTGTATTTCATTAAACGTCATTTGGACCAAACGAAATGGTAACTGGCTGCAGCAAAACATTACATTAAAAAAAACAATTTTCCTAAACACTTCGAAATACGTCATCGCGCAATGTCCGAGTCTAGTGTTGTCCGAAAGGTGACAGATACTTAATTTTTAAAGTATCGGTATTCAAATACTAGATTTTAACAATCGATATCTTCTGACAACACTATTAGGAACTAAGTTATTTAATTTGTAGCAGACATTTGCACGTGAACGCATCGAATTGACAATAGACACAGATACAAGATCTTCCAACGTACATTTGAATTAAAATCTCGTCATTGTCAAACATCTTGCTCGAAGGACCAAGTTAACAAAACTCATAGCAAGTCTACAACAAGTGATCGAAATAACTGTCTATAAAAATATATAAATCTAATTTTAAATTAGAACGAATCCGACCCCTTTTTATTATCAGATATGTAAAACGCAATTTTTGATTTTGAATTGATTTTTACAACTAAATATAATTTCTAATTTAAATATTGCTGAATCAACCCGTCTCTTGCTTTAATATTGCCAAGCGTCAGCTATATTGATAAATAAAGGAGTCGGTTTTTGAAAATTTAGTAAAAAAATATTTTCCTATGCACTATCCCGGCTTGTAAAGGTGCTGCCACATTGCTGGCGACTAAGGGCAACAGGCCCCGTCAATGTGGGACCACCTTCAACATTTCTGTCAAGTGTCAAACGTTCAAGACTGATGAAATAGAAAAATATCCGACGCAAAAAGACAGTGCAAGAAACATTTGTACAAACTTAATATTCTCTAGCAACGTTACAATGTATTTAGGTACTATTTTCACATATAACTAGGTATAGGTATTTAATGAATTGCTCTACTTTTCGCTATTTTGTTTAATAAGGTAATAATTTCACTAAGTCCCTAGCATATAAATTTACAAGCCCTCAACGATCGGGCCCGAAAACGCTAAGAGAAAAAATTTCCTAATCTCGGTCCGCCGCCGACAAGTCATAAAAAATATTCTTTTTTTGCGGATTTTTCCATTTTAATTTACTAAGAAACGCCGCATCCTTTTACTATTTACATGCGAGTGAAAAAAATTAGTGCGAAAAACTCACCCGGGACGAGACGAGGGGACAAATCGAGATCGTCATCAACAACAACAATTCGTTAAGTTTATTTTTTAGCTACGACATTATAAAAAACGTACAAACACGTTTACAAAAATGTATATATAAGAAAATCTAACGAACGAGACCAATGCCCCCCGCTGTGTGTGTTCCTCACTCAGTGATACGCCAAACGAGAAAAATTAGCTTCTAAAAACAATCAAACAGTTTACAGCTACCATAGAGAACAGACAACGTACAAATAACGAGAACAACCCGCCACATCGGCGACCATAAACGAGTCAAGCAAAAACAACCTAAAAACTAATGAACCGAGTCGAAACAACGCAAACTAGTGAACACGCCGCCCCGACGGTACCAAACGTAAACGACACTCCAAATCAAATCGCGTATACAAAACTAAATTCAAATTCGTACAAACTAAACGGCAATCAAAATAAAAATCCGCGGGACGGCCGACCACAAAACCATAAAAAGTCTAAAGGCCCGTAAACGTCGACGCACTCCACCCATCGCGCCGGCGTACAAAGCTTCGCAATGCGTCGACTAACACTAAAGGCCCTAAAAAGCAAAAAAGAATAAGCGAGACAAATCCTAAACTTCCTACCTTCAAATGGATCGGAAACGGAAACTTCTCAATCTCAAAAAAACAAAAACTCCGCGCATAGACAAAACGAGTCACTCAAAATGGCGCCCGAGACGCAACACAGCGTCGCGGCGCCTCATTATTCGAGGTATAATCTAAAAACCAAATCGCTCGCACAGACCACATATCCCAAACACCTCGGCGTTACCTCAACTTCTCTAAACAGCTGGGCAGAGTTCAACTCTATCAGACAATGACCGCTGTCAATTGACACTGACAGCCGCCGCCCGAGCAGATATTCCTCTACAACGTTGCGCGTAAAGTAAAAAACCACGACCGAATTCGCCTTCATCGTTTTCCTTTTTTATAAAAATACAAAAATACAAAATGGGACAGTGCGACAACACACAAACACACATCACCGCAAGAAGGGGGGGGGGGTAAGAGGGCCACGTACAAATTTACACACAAAAACATTGAGCAATATTTAAATCAACAAATACCAATCGCACGCAAACATGACCGAAGAAAATAGAGTGTTGTCACAAAAATCGTTGCAATTACTTTGAAAAACATACAAAAAACCGTATTAAAAAACCTGAATTTACCCACAAATAGGTCAAGAATCGAAATAGTGCCGTAAGTAAAGCTTGAAGTGATCATGGGGGCGTTAAGGCGTGTTCCTGAATTATCACCTAAAGGAGAGAAACATCTAATTCGAGAGAAAATCGCGTCAAAATCACGTTTATTTGCTATATTATTGAAACTAATTCTATGTGCCTCTGCCACAAACGTCAGAGAAATAAATTCGCTGCGCAACTCTTGAACATGGCAACACAGACTACGATCTTGTAAGGGGAATTTCAAACGTAATTTCAAGAGTCGCACAACGCGTTTGCAGCGGGCAATCAATTTCCTAAGACCCTCTACTTAATTATTTGAATCTACATAAGTTTAAAAACTCTTCAATCCTTAAAACCCCTCTAGCGACCCCACAGGGGGTGCATTTGTTGCAAAAGGTCGGTCCTATAGTATGGTAAACAGACCAAAACCCTTTCCCTCCGCACGGACAAACAAAACGTGCGTAGAAAGGACGGTTGCTCACAATAGTTGTCGCAAAATTAGCCATTTTCGCCATTTTTTTATTTCGAAATAGGTCATGAAAAGACTTGTATCTTCAAGTGGTCAAGAGGAGGGCTTTAATACAAAATAATGAATACCTTAAGTAAAAAACAAAATTAAAAATTACCAATTGAGCCACAAACATACAAGGGCAACCATCCACTTCACTAGGGGTGGGATTTGGGGGTTGTTTTTACCCACACCGACAAGGCACTTTCGCCTTATTTAAATTTCCGAAAATATACAACGACACGAAAAAACCTTTACAAAATCATGGAAAAAACGTCAAAAAATTCGCGCAAGTCTTTTCACTACAGTCTATATGCGTCCGTGGTCGATCGGGATACGGTGGCTGTATCCGATTATAGTATAATTAATTTAAGTACACACAACACTAGTCTCGGAAGACGCGCCGTTATTAAAAAAAACTGACAACTCCATTTCATTGCCATAGACAATCTGTCAAACTGAACTACCACAGATTACATTCAAATGTCAAATTTTAAACCATCGACAAAGTTTAGAAAACCACAAAATATAAAATTCAATTGTCTTGTTATGTCTTTTTTTTAATATTTATTAAACGTCATTTAAACGTCAAAACCGCATCAAGTGAAACGGCACGTCATCCAAAACACAAAGGTCTCGAGATCCGACCTCATACCAAACCCCATCTAACAAATTCAAGGCAAACGTGAAAAAACAGCTGGACATAAAATCCACTAAACTACAATCTATTGCACATTCCCGGCGAATCCCAAAGAAATATATTAATTTACATTTATATAAATCATTTATTTATTTATCATTATACTAAAAAAATAGAGCGAAACTACAGCCAAGATTGGTAACGATTGTTGTTTTGTACTAGATGCAGAACGTCCGATATACGAACAAACGCTCCGACAAACAAAAGTCGACAAAAACCAAACAATTATACTAGACAATATGACAATCCAACATAACTTACGACAGGGGGAACAGATATTCAACATTTATTTTAATAGACCTGGCAACACTAACTTGTCACTTCATATGTCACTGTCAAATGACTTACTATTTTGAATTAAAGTGTGTGACAATATTCAATGTTTTACAAATTTGGATGGAATCTAGTTTTAAATTAACCGAAAAAATGAAAAAGCCTGTTAAGTGACAGTTTAAATAAAATTCCAGAGAAATTATTTTCACTTTAAACAAAGAATTAACAAAAAGGTTCAAATAACTGTCAAATTCCCCTCTGCCTTAAGTTCCAGTCTAGAACCAAACCAGATTCTGATCTGAACCACACTACGTGACGTCATAGTCCACGAAAAAAGACAAATGCAACAATATCCAAGTGAAAACTAATAGTTTGGGGGTTTTGGGGGTTATTAATTATAGGGGAAAATTCATTCTAACTACACAGGTACAAATATGTTTAAGAACCAGACACTTTCGTCTTACATTATCTTACGATTACGTCAGAGCGCGGCGGTGAAAAAACGCGGCGGGAACGCAACGCGTCATCCGGGCGTATTTTCACCGCACACCGCGGACATACTTAACGACAAACTGACAACTATCTAAGTTTTTTATTCCTTTAATTTGAATACACATTTCGCTTAAATCGATAGAAAATGCTTCTCAAATTTCCTTCTACACGTACATTTACACTACAATTTGGAAAGGACACGGGACCGAAGTCTAAGAACAAAGCACCGACGCTTGTACTTTCACCTAACATTCCTAACATTGGATAATGTTGCCTTCAAAGCAAATACCATTCATAGAGTATAGAAACGCCAAGAGATTTAAGCGCTGGCAACAACACATCGCCGTTTGCACACGCGACATTTGTCACAATGTTGCCAGGCGTATGTAACTTTCGGTAGAAATAAAACCCTTAAAGCGAGCGTCAATTTGCAGTCGCGTTAGTAGTTGGGTTTTAGACTATCATTGAGTTGCAGTCGCGTGCGCAGTGAGACTGGTGGTGGTTGTTGGTTGGTGGTGGTTGGTGGTGGTTGTTGGTTGGTTGTGGAGCTAACACCAGCGGAAGGGCACGGCCCGCGGGCGGTCGGCGCCCTCCTTCACCAGCGGCTTGTGGAACTCTCTGCCGGGCCGCGAGTGGATCGTCGCCCAGCAGTGCTCGCAGTAGTACTGAAATATACACATTATTACAGTTTTTACATGTTTTTAGGTTTAAAAATAAAAAAAAATAGTATATTTAGAACAGATTGACAATGTTACTGTGTTTTGTATGCCTTTTTCTGTACATATTTTATCAATAGAAGATCTAGAGGATCTACAGAACTTGATTTAATTATTTTCTATGGATTTTGCCTTATAAAGATAAAATTGAATGAGTTTGTTGTAATTTTTTGATTTTATTGAATTCGCTAAACATTTGAGTTCAAACATAAGAACAAATATCTAAAGGTAGACAAAGTCTTTAAATGGGAATTGGCAAAAAAAAGTAATTTATGTCAATTTGTCTGTGTGTTTGTGTGCGCTAAACTCAGAAATGGCTGAACCGATTTAAATTTAGTTTCCACCAATCTATTGCTATAAGCTTCGCTAAAATTTTTGTTTATATGAAAGTTAACATTTGTATATATCTATACTATTATAGTAAAGCGTAAACACATACTTCTTTGTTGCCTAAGATGTCAGCAATTACAGCATATTTTTTAATAATTCTTTTTTTAATTAAAAGCCCTACACTGACATCATGCTTTAGGCTATATATTTTCACGCCATTAAACTTAGGGCCTAATATTTTGGATAAAACCCCAATGTGGGAAAGAGACCATAAGTTGTTGCCAACATCAAGGAAGTAAGATTGCCAAGGTTTGTCATGTCATGTCATTTTGACATTTGCTATTAATAATTTGACAAATGTAAACAATAAAATAAAATATTCATAATTTGATGCGGATGAAACCGCCTGGGAACAGCTAGTGTATATATGTAATGTATTGTGTGTTGTGTGTTGTGTTGTACCTGCAGACAGGTGACGTTGGCGCAGAAGAAGGGCGCGAACTTGGAGCCGCAGCGCGCGCCGGCGCACTCGTCGCACATCTGGTCGTCCAGCACGTACGGCTTCACCTACAAGTAACCCGCTTTAACATCTCCGCACTGCAGCCTCTCGGCAATACCACCACCACACACAGGCGTGAAGTGGAAGTAATTCGGCCTACAGTCTGATGAGTGGTGCCGGAGGCCTAATTTTACTCCCTTTCCCTTTCCACCATTTTCTTAAGAAAGGATGGGAAGGAAAAGTGGATTTGACGTTGGAAGAGACGCATAGGAAGGGGAAATGTCCTCTTTATGTGCGTCTCCGTCAATGAAGGGTAGGCAGCGCTGCAATTGCGGATGTTTATGTGCAGCGGTCGCGTTACATTTCGGTGGATTCAGGCCCTTTGCTCGTTTGCCACCTTATGTTATAAAAAAAATGAACTTTCAATATTAATTATAATTGTTTTGAGTTGAACACAAGCAAAACCCTATATATTATCAGTCAAAGGTAATATGTAAACAGCCTAATCTTATCTTACTAATATAAATGCGAACGTTTAGATGGATGTTTGTCAGAGTTTGTAGCATAAACTGTTGAACAGATTTCGATAAATTTGGCATCGATGTAGAGCATAGTCTGGAAAAACACATAGACAACTCACTATTGTTTTTTTAATTCCAGGCGGACGGAGTCGCAGGCGAAACCTAGTGTTAAAATAAGATCGATTGTAGGTGCCCAAGCGATTTGTAACCCCGGTATCAAATTTCATAGATATTTGAGGGTTAAAACCGTCAGATACAGGAGCTACATGTTCGTAGTATCGGGTTTATGTACATTAGTGTTTATTTAAGCAAACCAGAGTCCCATTTCTGCCTAAAACAACCCTATGGACTTTTTGTATCCCCATGAGATTACCCACAGTGCACGTTCGTGTGCGCTCATGTATGTATGCGTGCATGTTTGTGTGTGTGTGTTTGTGTGTGTCACCTCAACGCGCTTGTCGATGTCTCCGTGCTGCAGCTGCACGAAGCGCGCAGAGATGGCCGCGATGTACGACTGCTGGTTGGAGAACGCGACCCGCCCCGCGCCCTGGAGAGTGCCAAAGAAAAAACTAAAATATTGCCTCCGATCGATAATGCAATAAACTTTACAGAGATTGATTATTTTTACGGTAAGAAGGGCAAATGTTAGCACTAAAAACACCTATGGACAGACACGATTATTGACACTTATGGACAGACACGATTATTGACACCTATGGACATTTGAAATACTGGACAAGAGTTGGTTTGCTACGTTTGGAGGAAATAGTACGCACGCTTCTTGAAAAACTAATACTGGTTTATTAAAAACTGTAGGATAGACCATTCTATAAGTTTCATAAAAACGTTTGTAGAATCAGTTGTCGCGTGTCTTTAAATGGAAACATTCAACATAAAAACATTATTCTATTTAATGAATTGTAAACACTCACTTTGGGATATTTGAGCTCAGGGTCAGTGTCGATGCCGGCGTAGCACACGCCGCCGTACAACCGGTCCATTATCATCGCCAACTCAACTGTAATCACGTTTTAGTATATGTAAATATACACAAACATTCTGATATAAAATAATTGTTATACAATAAGAAACCGATAGAGACTTAGAATACAGGATAGCAGAATAGCATAGCGAATGAAGAAAAGTTATTATTTATTGGACGTCTTTCTGTGAAGAAAGTTTGAAAGTAGAAAAAAGAGAAATTGAAAAAAAAAGTTATCGTGGTGAGGACATATGATGAGACGTTAGTTACATAAAATAATAAGTTGAGAGTAGAAAAGAAAGAGCAAAGAGCAATGAGCAAAGAGTAGACAGTAGAGAGTAGAGAGCAGAAAGTAGAAAGTAGAAAACAAAGAGCAAAGAGTAGATAACAAAGAGCAGAGAGTAGAGAGTACTAACCAGCCTTGAGTGGACGCGGCACGCCGCCCACAAACACAGTTTTGCGCGGGTCGAGTGGCATGCTGGCATCGAGCACGAAGTCAGCATCCGCCAGCCGCCACGGCCGGATCTGCACTGGCTTGTCACGGATGGTGGGCGAAGACACGCACAAGTACAGCTTGTCGTCGTCCGTAATGCAGGCTTCCATCAGCGCCGCTACAGAGCTCTCATCCTGCACAATGCAACATACAATGTCCACAACTTGACAAGCCAAACGATAGACTTACATTTTAAGGGCATTTATAAGGTTTCAAGGCAGAAGTTAGAGTCAATGTTTTAGAGCAATGGTTAAAGGTAAGGTGGAACAAAAGCAATTGATTTGCCTTCCAAGCACGCCAAAGGACAAAGGCTAAAGAACACTACACTAAACTGTGGTATGTTCGGAAAAGTTTAGATCCCACTTAAAATATAAAAAATTGCAGACTTTCGCTTCCCCTACGAAAATTAGTCATGTAAAACCTAGTCATTTTAGTTAGTTATTATTTAGCTTTGGCAATTACACGGCACAATTAATCCTCAAATTATAACGTCATTTACGAGATCTTTGCTTTGAGAACTTTTTAGACAAGTTCTTTTTTGTTAAATTCTGCCTGGATAAATTCGCGAAAAAGATAGATTATAAAATATTAACTTACCTGAAACAGCAGAAAGGCATACCCCTTGGGCGGGAAGTAGCTCTTGCTCTCAGCCTTGTGCGGCCAGTCCACCACCAGCGGACCAAACCGACGGAACGATGACGTGATTTCATCTGGAAAGATATGGCAATCTATTTTACTAAACTTTCCCTGCCTAAAATTTATTAGGAAAGGATGAGAAGGGTTTGACAGGGGAGTGGACATATAAATACATCATTCTGTTACAACTTAAATTACATTTAAAATGGAATATGCTGTTACGATTAAAGCAAAATATCCGAGTAATCAAAACGATTTGCAGTGAACCTTGTCTTATCGTTGTCTCTGTTCTGTCAAATATCATAGAATGAAAGGCGTGAAATTAAAAATATAGCCTATGTTACTTACAACGTAACGTTATTTTATGGTGATAAGAGTTTTTGAAATCTGCCCCAGTAGTATGAGTTACTTTTCCCAGTAGTTTTTGAGTTTCTTTATAATGTTAGTATACATCTAGATTAGACTATCCTAACCAGAAATATAAGAACTTGCGGAACTCTTGAAACGTTCTTTACATAGAAATTAACAACAACAGTACCAAAAGCGTCATTGCAGTCAAATTCTATTGTTACATAAACATCCGTTAATAATTACGTGGCGTTCTTGACCTAATTTTTTTGCTACATAACAAATTACTAAATCAATATCGGATCTAGGCAACCGCGAGACGCGCCCGGCTTTGTTCACAATCTAGGCCACCTAGTTCACGATCCAATGGTCCGCGCCGACGCAGATTACAGACGACCTAGGTGGCCCGGGTAGGCTTTACAATCAATAACTATATTACATTACTAGATGGTGCTTGCGACTCCGCATGCGTGAAATAAAAAAGGATAGCCTATGTAGAAATTATGAAAGATTTTTTATAATCTGACCAGTAGTTTTCGAGTTATTTTGATACATACAAAAACACAAATCTATCCTCTTTATAATAATTAGAACACACACGTAAGCTACAACTTAATCACTTTTACATTTGTAAATCATTGCTAATTGATATTTTAATATGACAATTTTAGCACCACTTTTAAAACTTATGTCACTAGCTTTCGCCTGCAGCTCCGTCCGCGTGGAATTAAAAAAAAAAGGAAGGTAGCCTATGTGTTCTTCCAGATTATGCTTTACATCTATGCCAAATTTCATTGAGATGCGTTCAGCCGTTGAGCCTACAAACTAACAAACATCCATCCACCTAAACTTCCGCATTTATAGTATTAGTAAGAAGATTGCATCGTTTTAGTAGTAGATAGCTTGATGGAGGCCTTTTAATGAAATCGGCTTGAATCGTTATTTATGAATATCTAACTGTTCCCATGCGACTTCATCCGCATAAAATTATGAAAACCTTATTTCATTGTTTACATTTGTCAAATTATCAATTGCAAATGTCAAAATGACATGACATGACAAACCTTGGCACCATGCTTTCTTAATGTTGGCAGCAACTTATGGTCTCTCTCCCACATTAGGGTTTTTATTCAAAATATTTACCCCCCTAAGTTTAATGGCTTTTAAAATATATAACCTAAAGCGTGACGTAAGTGTAGGGCTTTTAATTAAAAAAATAACTATTCAAAGACATGCTGTAATTGCTGACATCTTAGGCAACAAAGAAGTGTGTGTTTACGCTTTATTATAATAGTATAGAAGAGTATAGATAAAGTTACTATGTAACTACATTAGGGTGTTATAATGCATGCTCGCATCGCAACCGCCTACAAAACGCTAAGGTTTCAGTTATCACTTTAAAGGCTTCAATATCTTTGTAAATGGCGTCAGCGATAAAGCGGCTTGTATTAAAAATAACTCTTAGGCGCTAGATTTTATGATTTTCAAATTATCTATACAATATTATAGACAAGGGAAGAATTGAATTTTTACATTGAAACGAGCAGTTCCCGTGCGGCTTCATCCGCATTAAATTGTATTTACTTTATTGTTTTTATTTGTGAATTGTCAAAATTCAAATGCATAAATGACAACCTTTACGTTGGCAGCTTGTAGTTTATAGTCTCTTTCCCACATGGAGGCTTTTTCAATTTATTACTACTACTACTACTATCGTCTTTTTAAAATTTTACACAGACGGAGTCGCGTGCGAAAGCTAGTAGATAATAAAACGTAGGGTGTGGTTGGTAGTATGACATAACTGTAAAGTTACACACGCCTGCAGAGGCATCATTTTTCGTTGCACCTACTATATATATATATATTATTATTTGATATTTATTTCCTCTACAGCTATGGTACCTTTCTGTTCTCACACGTCCTAATATACTTATTTACGGTAATGTTTGCACGTGCGTAGCCAGGCAACGGCAATGAGAATCGATGCGGCAATTGCACTCAAGGCTGACACGTCACGTCATTTGCGTATTCTCGCACGTTATTGACTATTATTGTGGCGAACTGTTTTATAACGTACTAGCTATCATCCGCGTTGAATTTAAAAAAAAAACATAAAGTATTGTGCCTATGTGTTCTTCCAGTGTATCCTCTACGTGTATACCAAATTTCATCCAGATTCGATCAGCAGTTAGGCTACAAACTCTAATAAACATCCATCCATCTAAACCTTCGCATTTATAATATTAGTAACACTAGCTGTTGCAGACTTCGATCGCGTGGGATTAAAAAAATGGTAAACACAGCCACTGTTACTTGGTGATAACGTAGCTTTTTAATGGTGAAAGAATTTCTGTAATCGGCTCTGTCTTTTTCAAGTTATTTCAATACATACAAAGATACAAATCTTTCCTCTTTATAATATTAGTAGTATGAAAAATACGTTTCGTAATTCAAATATTTTTATAGTACAAGCTGACAAAAAGGCCTCCCCAAAATTGTCCAGAATAGCCAAGAGACCGCTGCCTATAGATATCCGCATTTACAGTCATCAATCATATTTCCTCTACCTATGCGTCCTATCCCCTGACAAAGACGATTCCCCTTCCTATCATTGTACAAAAAAACGGGAGAAACACAACTGAGAATCTACATTATGCGTAGCATAGGCTATTAATTTTAATATCACGGGCGTGAAGTCGCTAGCTATTGCTAGTATTAAAAATATCCAATAATTTTTAAACCCAGTCTTTTTAAGTCTTCGCAGTAATCTGATGTGTCTTCATACGATTGGTTCTCTAAGGATCTTGGTTGTGTTTGTGTATTTTAAACTCACCCTCGTCAATGTCCGGCGGCAGTCCACCAACAAACACCTTCCTGCTGAACCGCTCGCCGTGCTCCGAGCCCGCGGACACGGGCGACGACCTCGCCGGCGAGCCCAGCGCACTCACGCACATAGACAAACCTGCGGGACAAACTTATACACTTAGAGCCCTTGGACTCCATTTCTCTCCATCCTGAACTAGCTGTTCTGTTCTGTTTTCGTGCGGCTTCATCCACGTCTTACTAATATTATAAATGCGAAAATTTTGTGGATGGATGTTTGTTAGAGTTTGTAGATTAAACTGCTGAACGGATGTCGATGAAATTTTGCATTGATGTAGAGCATAGTCTGGAAGAACTTTTGGGCTAATTAACTTTGTTTTTTTTTTTAAAAAAAAACTCTACGCGGACGGAGTCGCGGGCGAAAGCTAGTAACATATATTTTTCTTAAAAAAAATAATTGAAAATTAAGGACCTTGCTTTTGGCAGAAAATTTAAACATTCACGACTACCTTTTGCGTTTGCCTATAGAGTGTGATAACTGTAGGGTTTTTTATTTATATAAAAAACACTTGACTCCAAGGGAAATTGAAAACAAAAATGAGTAGTCTATGTGTTCTTCCAGACTATCCTCTACATCTTTACCAAATTTCATCGAAATCCGTTCAGCCGTTTAGACTACAAACTCTAACATCCATCCACTAAACTTTCTCATTTATATTATTAGTATGAAGGATAGTAACGCGGAAGGGAAAAGTGGTCCAAAATTGGAATGATCCTCACCAGACGAGACGGTTTAAAGATACTTCCTCTTGACGCGTGTCTTCTATATGCATTGCTAAAGCGGGCATTTCCCAACAACGTGACGAAGTCTTCCATGTCGCTATAGACTCTAGGCTAAAACTACGTCTAGGTTACCTAGGCTACACTAACCTGCGGCACTAAGCCTGGAAACGACATCCTGAGCGTGGTCGGGCGGCGCCGAGGGCGAGCCCGCGCCCGCCACGCCCGCAGCCGGCTCCTCCACGCCGGGGAAGAACGGCGACTTGCCTGCAACAAAATAACCCATTATAAGTTAGATGCGATATTTTTACCACCACAATTTTTTTTTATCTTTTTTACCTATACTAAAATTATAAAGAGGAAAACTTTGATTATAATGAAATAACTCAAAAACTACTGGGCTGATTTCAAAAATTCTTTCACCATTAAAGAGCTACGTTAGTATCGAGTTACGTATATATCGTTTAATTTCGTGCGGGCGAAGTCACAAGTAACAATTAGTAGTATCGTAAATACTTTTAAAATTAGACAGACTCCAGTCAAAACACTATCTTCACATACCAAGTACTTCAATGTTATTGTAAATCCTCACTTCTAGGAGTCAACGACATTAAAAAACTCAATTCTGGCGTATTGCCAGCACCAAAATACTTTGAGCTGCGCTGTCACTGAAATGAAATTGGGACGCAGGTGCGGCCTGGGGGAGGCTGGAGGGGGGACCACCTCACATCCTATTGATAAATTGACCCACACGCTCATATCTGACTACGAGTAACAATAACGAGGTACATAACTCTAAAACGCATCTTTTTAAATGTCATAAACTTGCTGTTCCCGTGCTTCATCCGCATGAAATTAAGAAAATTTTATTTTGTTGTTTACATTTCTTAAATTATCAATTGCAAATGTCAAAATGACATGACCCTTGGCAATCTTGCTTCCTTGATGTTGGCAGCAACTTATGGTCTCTTTCCCAAATTAGGGTTTTTATCCAAAATATTTACCCCCTAAGTTAAATGGCGTGAAAATATATAGCCTAAAGCGTAACGTAAATGTCGGGCTTTTTTATTAAAAAAAAGTGTTATTCAAAAATATGTTGTAATTGCTGACATCTTAGGCAACAAAGTGCGTGTTTACGCTTTATTATATTAGTATAGATATAGATTGAAACGGGTAGGAAATTGAACATATATTAAGGGAAACAAAGAAAAAGATATTTCCAAAATAGTCTATTGTATAAGGAAGAAAAGATTGATGTATAAATGCATTTACGGATTAAGATGTACTCGTATTGGTTTAAAACAATAACCATCTTTATAGAATTCTTACTTATATCTGAGAGTTTAGATGGAACTTTGTTAGGGTTTGTAGCCTAAACTGCTCAACGGAACTCTATGAAATTTGGCACAAATGTAGAGGATGGTCTGGTTGCTTGCTCTTACAAAACTGCATCAAAATGCAATCCGTTAAAGATTAAAGCATAGGGACAGATTGCAGGAAGAGACTTTGTTATACTATATAGCGATTTCGAAAGAATACGGTGATATATGGTCAAATTTAACCAACTAGATCACAGAATTACGACAAAAATGAACTAGTAAACAGCTAAAGGGCACTTTTTATAACAGAGTTCACAAAAACCAAGGTCACTGAACCTTGAATCAAGTTGGTCATGCGACTCAAATCTTTATAATCAATACTAGCTATCGCCCGCGACTCCGTCCGCCTGGATTTAAAAAATAATATAAAACATAGCCTATATTACTCACTAATAACGTAGCTTTTTAATGGTGTAAGAATTTTTTAAATCGGCCCAGTAGTTTTTGAGTTGTTCCATTACAATCAAACAAAGTCTTCCTCTTTATATTAGTAAAAAAGTATTAGACAAAATAAAATCACGTAATAATAAATTTATAACTAAAGGTAGTGTTTTCCGTTGGGCTGATGAACTACAACCAGTTGACCAAATGGGAAAAAATCCTAACGCGAAACACCCATTAAAATGGTTTAGTTGTGATCTTTGTACACCTCTACATTTGTTTTTGCTGACAAACAAGCAAGGGTCCACTTTAATTATTCAAAATAGAGAAGCAAATTTTCATAGACACCATTCATAAACTCGTTCCTTGATAGAGACAGAATGATTTTCCCTTTCTTAACTCCTCTACCCTACCCATCTTTTTACAAGATACGGGAAAAGAGAGGAGACTAAGATTTTATTTCAGAAAGCTACAAAGTCACTGTTATTTAAAACACAAATATAACATTTTAAAGTTTCTCGATGGAAAGACGTATAAATTGTCATTCCCTTTAAAAAAAAAGGGATACCAATGTTTTAAAACAAATGCTACTGGAATGGATAACTCGTCAAAACGCGAACGCATAGTCTGGTTGTCATGGTGACAAGTTAAACAATATATTCAAAAACTATTTAATGTAATTATACTTTTTTAATGTCTTTATAATAATTAATAGATAGTCAGCATGCAGAAAATGTTATAAATAAAATGTTGAGCATTTCGTATGAAAGCCTTTTACGTAAAATAAGTTAGTTATAATTTTCTAAGCTTGTAATGGTATCGATCCTGTAATGTTTATATTCTTAACACTGAGACTAGTCGGTGTATATTAAATTGAAAAATATTTATACATTTCAACGTAGTACTGCCATACCGCAAATGAAAATTTTAATGTTTTTCGTTGTTCTAACAATAAGTTTTAGGGTAATACATAAACTTATCTAACTTAAAACAGACTTGCGTTTACTTAATCAGCGGTATTTTAAAAATACATAATTATTGAAAAGTATGAAAATACTCACTCTTTCTGCAAGGAAATCTTGTGCCACGGATGAAAGGCGTTATCAAAGGTATTGTATGCACCGACATAATATTACAATAGAAAATTTTTCGACAATATTTTCCTTCCGAAAATTTCTTCAACGAAACAAAGATGCGTCCGGCGCAGCGACGTACCGCGTGAATGAAAAAAATGACGCTCGCGTTCGAAATTCAATCATTCATTTCTAATTTTTTTATAAAATATAAAACCTTTTTTGATAAAGACACCGCTAAAATTATACCAAGATAAAAAGTAACCGTTATTTAAACTGCTATTTTTAATTGAAACTTATTTAACAACGTTTGTCAATAGACCCGAATTGTAAACGGAGTTTTCTTAAACTGAAACAGCTAGTTTACGTTCCTACTAAAATTAAATTTCTCGATTTAAAACGAAGACGCCTCGTTTTATTTTTATTGTGGATACGTTCAGAAACAGTCTTTTGTCATTGTTTAAACGTTAAACAACTAAATAGTTTTTTAATTGACTGAATACAAATGCATTTATTTATTTAAATTGCTTAATTGTGTTGATATAATAAGTTAAAAGTAGTGATGTGATATAGTCAGATTTTTTAAATCAATATTATTAATCAAATAAATTGGGAACAATCTTACTTCTTGTAATCCACCTGAATGTTTAGATGGATGTTTGTAACATACTAGAACGGCTAAACAAATGTCTCTAAAAGGCATAGATGTAGAGTATAGTCTGGAAGTAAATATAGTCTATTTACTAAGTTTATTTTTAAAATTACATCTTGAAATGTTTGACGATTCTGTCGATAAGGCTACCGATTATATTTTTTAATTCAGTAACGGAATTCAGACACGGGTGACAATAACGATGTTTTTTTTATTCAATGTCCTTGTATTATATCCAGTAACATGTTATTTTTTACGCTAGAGATCGCGTGTTTGTTGACAGGTTAGGTTAATACCACAGATAACATACTAACTATATTTTAGGTTATAATCAGTAATAATAGCGCATCACTAAACAATAATTTAAATTCAAAGTTGTAGTGTATTAATACATGTAAATTGTCGTCAAATATTATTGTTTTATCTAGTTTTATAGCAAAAATTAGTTGTGATTAAATATAACCTAAAATTTAAAACAATTTATGCATCCGTAAAAAAATTACTTATTGTACAGCTAACAAAAATGTTCTTCCATCAGCAATAATTGTCAACAACAAGCAAAATATTCAATGTCAACATTTTTACAATGAAATTCTTGTTGTTTTGAAACATATTGTCTACGTTTTCATTTTCAAAACATTCCTAAAACGAACCTTATTAGCATTTAAATGCACGATGAATTATCACATTTAAGGTCTTGACATAAAGATCATAATCAAACGGCAAGGTTACAAACGATATAGCACATAGTATGTTGTAGTAAATATCTTAATAATTCTTACTAATGTTATAAATGCGAAAGTTTAGATGGATGGATTTTTGTTAGAGTTTGTAGCCTAAACGGCTGACCGGATCTCGATGACATTCGGCATAGACGTAGAGGATAGTGTGGAAGAACACATAGGCTGCTCACTTTCGTTTCTTTTTAAATCACGCGGACGGAGTCGCGGGCGAAAGCTAGTTCATCTATTATTTAAAATATGTAAATCATGCATGGGCATAGAAAATTTTAATAATCACAAGAAAACTAACTTTGAAACAAAATACACTAAAAAGTAACCAAGTGATTTCCTAAATAACTTATAACAGAAAACTCTCTTGTAACTATTGTCTATATTGTACAATTATTGTTGTTTTATTTTTAATTATCCTTTTTTTTATACAACTAGCTTTCGCCCGCGACTCCGTCCGCGTGAAATTAAGAAAAACAAAAGTGAGTAGCCTATGTGTTCTTCCAGACTATCCTCTATATCAGTACCAAATTTCATCGAAATCCGTTTAGCAGTTTAGGCTACAAACTCTAACAAACATCTATCCATCCATCTATCTAAGCTTTCGCATTTATAATATTAGTAAGATTATAACCTCTACATCTACACCAAATTCCGTCGAAATCCGTTTAGCTGTTTAGGTTACAAAGTCTAACAAATATCCATCTAAACTTTCGCATTTATAATTATTAGTAAGAAGTATGATATACCTAGAATTGCATTTAGGGTTAAATATTTCACCAGTTGGGAAATACATATTCTAGTCTGTATAGTTAATAAGTAAATCTTGTATCATATAACAGGTCATATGCTTAGGTCATGCAGACGTCTATACGATCTCCTAGATGTCCTAAGATACCTAAACTACTTGATAGCGTAAACCCCATTTGAAGTGAACTGGACTTTTTTACATAACAATTTTACGAGTATATTATAACTTTTGACAAGATTTCTATTTCGTGATATCTATCTAAGAGTAAAAAACATTTGTAGGTCTTTTAAACGTTATTTGATAAATTTTGAAAACGCCTGTTAAAATTTTCATATAAAATTATTCAAAATAAAATTTTGCTATTCATAACCTTGAAGAAATATTTTATCATATTTCTTTTTAACAGATTATTATTATTGTTTGTTATTTTTAACTAAGAATTAATGTAGAAGATATCTTTCAAATGGATGAAATAAATAAGTAAAATTAAGTGGGTTTCGAACCCGCATATTCATTTTATCTAACCATCTAACGCTGAGATCGATTGAGGCCGTTTCTAGGTCAATCGGGAAATCAATATAATGACATTAATAGACGCCATCTTGGATTTTTATACGATACTGACAATCAAGGTTAGGAATGTCAAGGCAGTTTGTTATTTTTATCTATTATAAAATAGATAATATTTTAATATCCCTGTATATTCTATTAATATAGCTATATATGTTTAATTCAAAAACCTCACTGACTAGGCATCATCGTCATGCATGTGTTCCTACGTAGTGTTCATATTATGTATTCTTACATACATTTCTATCAGCTGAATATCTGAATTCACTGCCTTCTCTAGCATATCCTCTACAACACAATACAGTGGTAGTGCCCGATTTAACATCTTAGCACGAATAGGCCGGCACGCCCGGTGTAATACTACGACCACACAGAAGACAGGCATGAAATGGAAGCAATTCCATGTTTCATCTGATGAGTGTGGTGCCGGAGGCCTAATTTAAGTCGCTTTCTCTTTACCACCCTTTTCTTATAAGGAGAGGATGGGAAGGGAAAGTGGATTTGACGGTGGAGGAGATGCATAGGAAGGGGATATATCCTCTTTATGTGCGTCTCCTCCTCCGTCGGATAAGGGTAGGCAACGCATCTGTAATTGCGGATGTCTTTGGCCACCTTATGATATAAAAAAAAACATAATTTCCCCTACGTAGTGTGAACAGTATGTACTCTTATGTATGTACATCTATATCAGCTGAATATCAGAATTCACTGCCTTCTCTAGCATATCCTCTGCAATACAATACTACACACTTCTACCTTAAATTACTTGATTAAATATTACGAGATGTTGCCATTGAAATTAAAAATAATAAAATCGGTAGAACATCGGAGCCTTTTGTTAAGCCGTTTTTGAGTGACATAGTAACAAACATCCATCCAAACTGTCCAATTTCTAAGCATGTACGAATAAATCTCAAATATTCAGTAGTTGACTATACTAAGAAGGGTAAATAGTTGTGTAACAGACCGACAAATGCATTAGACCGGCCGTCGTATAGAGGATACAGTTCATTATACGTGACCTCTATACTTACGCCTCGTGTATTTCACTAACTCTATGCTCACGATTGATAGATTCGAACAAGAGTACGTGCGAACACATTGACAAAATAATTGCCCAACTGTTTTGTCTCGCTTTGATTCCTATGAGCTTATATGGAGGTAATAAATAAAATAAATAAAAATAAAATAACATTTAATCTTATCATACATCATAATACTCGATTTGTAGTGCAAAACAGTTGATGCTGCGAAACAATCGACAATCGCACAGTTGTGCGATAGTTTAGTCCCAGTTGTGTGCCCACTTTAAATGCTCCTATGAGTGTACAAATTCAGTTGATGATACGAATATTTCTAACGAGAAAAGTTAAAGTTTAGTGAATTTTTAAATCCGGCGTCCAGAAACACGCTATTTATTAATAGTTCCTAAACATTAGTAATAATAAAATATAGCCTTTGTTACTCACAGATAAATTACCTTTCTATTGGTGAAAGAATTTTTAAAATCGGCCCAGTAGTTTTTGAGTTATTTAAATATTAACAAAAATACAAAGTTTTCCTCTTTATAATATTAGTATAGTTAAGCAGTGTCCATATTTCGTTACAGAACTCTCTCAGGACACAGGAGACAGAAATGTGAATCTGTATGTCTCTTTCTTTTCATAGAGAAAGAAAGGGATGCATACTAGCGCTTCGACCAAAGCGTACAGTCCAGAACGTATCAATGACGGGATTTGCAAGGACAAATGTCGTAGAGCGCAAGCGTAGGTGAGGTCGATGACCTTGTCAATCGCTTGGGCCGGGAAATTGGGGCATTCTACCCGTTTGGGTTTATAGCATAGTGTAGAATAGGCTAGATTTTTATTCATTAAACTACTTTATATACAAACACTATTTTTTGAGGACTAAAAAATACATCTTATAGAAGAATAATAATCGCTAAAATAAAGTAACTGGCGTGATAGATATGTGTGAACGCTACTGGTACAAGTAGCTAACGCGATATTTGACTTTGTAACGATGTATTTAGGACATGACCCTTGCGATCTCGTTGACATTTACTGGAATTTCCCTTCCTATACTTCCCTTATGAGGAAGGCAAGGGAAAGGGACAAAAATTGGGCCTCCGACACACTTATGATGAAACGCATAATAGCTTCCACTTCACGAACTGTCTCATGCGATCTCAATAGATTTACTGGCATTTTCCTTCGCGTAATTCTCTTATAACGAAAGGAAGGGAAGGGAAAAAGACTTAAATTGGGCCTTTGGCACGAAACACAGAACAACTTCCACTTCACCTGTGTTCAAACTTCGAATAGGACTTAGGTAGCTCCCTAGTCTAGATCGACCAACAACGCTCATGGAATCAGACTCGAAAATAACTCTAGACAGTTATTTCATGCAACTATCAGATACGCCTAGACAATATTTCCAGGTCATATAAGGTGAAGCAATCTTA